TGATGTCTATGTGAATTCTTATTCTCCTGCCATTGCTGTATTAATTTCTGTACTTCTGTGTCTTGAGTGCAAGAATTTCTGATCCTATTAATTAGATCAGATTCTATAGTATTTGTGACTAGAGTATAGCAGTCTCCATGTTCTAGCCTTGAGAGGGCATCAACAACTACATTATCTTTGCCTTCTCTATATTCAATGGAGAAATCAATTTCCATCAATTTCACTAACCATTTCTACTGGAATGCAGTAGATAACCTCTAATCTAGAATATATTTCAGACTTCTATGATCAGTCTTGATGATGAAATGTCTGTTGAGTAAATAATGTCTCCATTTCTGTACTGCAAACACCACAACCATTAATTCTTTCTCATAGGTGGATAAGGATTGTTGTTGCTGGTTCAGGTTTCTGCTTATAAAAGCAAATGGATGATGATCTTGCATAAGAACAACACCTATACCATAACCAGAAGCATCAACCTCCATTACAAAGGTTTTATCAAAACTTGGTAATGCTAATACTGGAGCTTCAGTCATAGCATTTTTCAGTAATTGAAAAGCATCCTTAGCTTGGCATGTCCAACTGAAATTGTCTTTTTTAAGTAATTCAGTTAATGATTTAGCTATGCTACCATAATTCTTCAAAAATATTCTATAGTAGCTAGTGAGCCCTAGGAAACCCCTAAGTTGCTTGACATTTTGCAAAAGTGGCTAATCAATAATTGATTTAATTTTCAATGGATCAGTTGAAACTCCTTGGCTTGAGATAAAATGCCCCAAATATTCAACTCTATCCACCCCAAAGTAGCATTTAGATCTCTTAGCATACAATTTATTCTGCCTCATAATTAGAAAAACTTTCGTGAGATGTTGAATATGGTCAACCAAACTTTTGCTATATATCAAGATGTCATCAAAGAAAACCAATAGGAACTTTCTGATAAAACTCTTGAATACAAAATTCATAAGACCTTGAAATGTGGTTGGTGCATTGGTAAGGCCAAAGGGCATTGAAAGTAATGAAGATCTTATTGAATTACTTTGGCAAAAATCTTGTTGATTTGATGAAGTCAAGAATGGAGTCAAAGGCTACTTTGTGGCAGTCATAGGTCACTTGGATAAAAGAGTAGAAGGATTAGTGTGTCTGTAGCTCCGCTTAGGTATAATCATTTTTATCTTTCTGCTGCATGAGGTTTCTTCATTTAAAAGATTTTGCAAATGCCTCAAAAAATGTTTTAACGGTTAAAAACAAAGCATTTTGACAAAAGCTTTCTTAATCAACTATTTTAACTAATAGAATATAAGCTTTATCAACTAAAATGTTCTTCACACTTTTATAACAGGATTTCAACTAATATAACTTCGAAATAACCGATTGTTTTCATTAAAGGAAGTATTGAAAACCTTCAGTCAGTATTTTAACTGATACAGTTTCGAAATAACCGATTTAAATCACTTAAAATGTTCAGAGAAGTGTTCTGGCAGTATTTTAATCGATACAACTTCGAAATAATCGATTAAAACCACTTGGTGTACTGTTTGACCGATCAGAATTGAGTTATGACCGATCAGAACCAGTTATGATCGATCAAAATTAGGTTATGACCGATCAGAATTATTTTAATCGATTAAACTACGTTTCAATCGATTAAATCAACTTAAGAAAACATGTACTAAGCGTTTTAATCGATTAAAACATATTTTTATCAGTTAAAATCACTTGAAAAAGTTTATAAGAATATCTTGCAGTATTTTAATCGATTGAAACACGAAACAATCGATTAAAACAAATTAGAAGATTTTTTACAAAGAGTTTTAATTGATATAAACGTTGTCGTATCAGTTAAAAAAAATCTGGAAAATAATCAAGAACGTTTTAATGGATTAAAAGAAGTTTTAACAGATTAAAACAAGACTTTTAACAGATTAAAAGATTATTTAACAGATTAATTAAATCAGCAGTTTTGAAAATCTTCTATAAAAACATAGTTGCTTGAACTTTTTAATAAACATCTGATATACATCTTTTAGCAATCAATCAAGCAATCAAAAGTGATACTTTCAAGAAAGAATTACGCTAGTTTTTGTGAAGTTTATCAAAGTTCTTTCTTGAGGCAAAATTGCATTCTTTTGGAGAAGAAACAATATATTGCAGAACTGCATAAAACTGGTTTGAGCGTTCTAAGTTTATTCTGTTTGTTTCTTTACTTTCTTTTACTATATTGTGGTGCCTGGAATTGTGGGCACTGGTTTCTGTAGCTGGAATTTGGCTGCAAGGTAGGTCAAGAACTGAAATTTGGTTCTTGGTGAAAGGTTAGGTGCAGGAACTGGAATTGTGGTTTTTGTGGTAGATTGACTGTGAGGTTAAGGTTGTAATCTATAAAACATTCAATCTAGTGGAACCCAGTTGGAATTTGGCTGGAGACTGGACGTAGCCCTGGGATTGGGTGAACCAGTATAAATCTTGGTAATATCTTTCTAAACCTTTCTCTTCTTTAATTCTGTGAATGCATTTATTTTTGATTGCTTGTTGTGTGATTCAAGAACTGGTCTGAAATCTTAATCTGAGAAATAGATAATCTGTAAATTTGCGAAAATCTTTCAAAGATCAATTCACCCCCCTCTTGATCTCAGCCTCTTTTTCTAATAGGCATAACAATATATTCAAAATGTCTATTGTGAGTCTTGAAAGCAGTTTTATGAATTTTCTTTTGGATCCATTTTGACTTGATGGTATCCAGCTCTAAGATTGATCTTAGAAAAAATTGTTGAACCATGCAACTCATCCATTAAGTCTTCAACTAAGGGAATTGGAAACCTATCTTTCACAGTTCCTTTATTTAATTCCCTATAATCAACACATAGCCTTCAAGTTCCATCATTTTTCCCAACCAGCACTACAGGACTGGAAAAAGGACTACTACTATTTTGTATCAAACCAGAATCCATCATTTCTTGAACTAACTAGTCAATTATATCTTTCTAATTTCCAGCATATCTATAGGCTCATTTATTAACAGGATCAACCCCTTGTAACAATGGAATCTGGTGATTATGACCTTCTCTCATAGGTGGTAGTTGTTTAGGTTCTTCAAAGATAAGTATCTAAAAGTTGCAAGATGTCTGTATTAATGGATACCTGGTCAGCATGAGTAGTTAGGTTTTGAAGTAGAACTCCCTCCTGTTGACAAGTTTGAATCATGGAAATATGCACACCATTCAACAGTGCTTTCTCTATATGTTGATTGCTGACAGTTTTGACTCCCATAGTATGTAATCCTCTTATAACATGTCACTTCCCTTTGACCATAAACTCCATTGTTAGCTTATCAAAATTTCAAGTAATATCACCGAGTGTAATCAACCATTCTATTCCTAACACCATATCACAACAACCCAACGACAGTAATAACATGTCAGAAGAAAAATTGTTGTGCTACAATGACCATGCAAAATTCCTAATTATGGAGTTAATCTGTAGTTTGCTACCATCAGCAACTGTTACCAACAATGGGTCAACCTTTTCTATCTTGCATCCCAACTTTTTAGCTACTTGAATATCCACAAAGTTGTGCATACTACCACTGTCAATTAGGATGTGCAATGACTTCTTCATATACCTCCCAGTAACTCTCATTGTTCTGAAATTAGCTACACCAGTTAGGGCATTCACTAAGATTTGTGGAGTATTGTTATACATTGCGTTTTGCTCCTGATCAACATTTCCATCCCCCTCCAAATCTTCCTCATCTACCTCAATCAAATGAAATTGAGCCTTCTTATGAGTTAGGTTGTGCTCAAGTGAATATTTCTAATCACAAAAGTAACATAAGTTCTTAGCCTATCTTTCATTGATATAGGCTGGAGTCAATTTCTGACCTGGCAACAATTTTGTTCTGGTTGTAGCCAAATTAGAATCACTGAATTGGCTTGGTCTAGGTCCCAATATAGACTTGGTTATTGGTGGTGGTTTGGGTCCCTCCCCTGTCACACTGAAAGACTCATATAACTTAGCCAATGTATAAGCTTTCATGATAGATTTAGGTTGAAACATTCTGATCATCATCTGAATATCTTGTCTTAGGCCCCCCAAAAAACAACTATGTGTATATTCTTCTGAAAGATGTAACCGAGTGATTATAACATCAAAGGCTTCATGATAATCACTAATAGACCCTGTTTGTCGCAAAATTTCATCAATTCTCCCATGGGATCATCACAGACTTCTCTAGATCTATCAATCAACAATTGTACATACTCATCCCAAATTGGCCATGCATGATGCTACTGTAATGCCTTGCCTTCAAAGTGGACCACAACTAATTTCACTTTTATATCATCAGGTGTTTTATCAATTGCAAAATAAGTTTCACATTAATATAACCACTGTTGCACATTATCCCCCTTGAGGAAAATCAATTCTTGGAAGCCTAGTAACACAAGAATAATGTGAGGATGATTTTTCACCTGAATGCGAATGGTTCTTATGTACACCCTCGTCAGAACCCTGAAGAGGCCTTTCCTTTTGATGCAGAATATCCTCAATAGTTTTCTTCAAATATTTACCCAAAGATTGTTGAATAGAGTCTGCGACTTCCATCAGTAACTCTAATTTCTCTGTAATGTGTTTTTCCAAACGATCCTCCGCGTCCCTAATCATTGCTTGGATACGGGTTGCTTCAGCCATGGTGGAGATCTAAAAGTGCAATAGCCACCGGATCGAACGTAGCTGATACCAATTGATATGGTTCTTAATAAAACCAATTAGAAAACTAGAAATCTCACTAAGAAACTCAAAAAATTCTTGGAAATTCAGAGAACTCTAAAGAAAGAGTTATGAGGATTTATTATCAAGAAATGTTTGTTACAATAGAGAGAAGTAAGAATGATTTTTTTTATTTCAAAAAAGATTCTCGCATTGATTGCAGCCAGCTATCTTTTATAGCTACAACCAAACACTAAGCAGAAAAGGTAGTTACTAACTGCCTTAACTACTTATCAATGCCAGTTGACATTGACAGCTGTGAATTACAACAATTAGAACATATCTACTATAACATCGTCTTTATCCAAAGTCTCAAGCCACGAATAAACCGTAATCCACTGGTCAGTGCGCTGGAACCGTGCTTGCGGGAGATCAAGCTGACTTGCAATTCAAACATTTTTCTATCCAATAAAAAGTCCACACATTTTGTCAGTCTCATTTAATGCAAAGGGCTAGGGATTGTAACTACATTTGAAAATGTAGCATACGTTATTCTCTGTAGTAAATGCAGAGCGAGAAGATAAGAAGCGGCGTGTGTGATTAAATGAAGCAAGATCTGAATGAAAAGTGGAATTGGCTGGAAAACAAACTGCATTAAATCTTTCATATTAGTTGTTTGAGTACAAGAAAAGTGGCGATGGAAAAGTCTACGACTCTTTCACCATTTCAAGAGACTACAGAGATGTTCTAGCTTGAGTATACCATGGTTGTGAGAAAACCACTCTAGCAGCTTGAGTTATGTCCACTGCAGACTCTGTATGGTCTTGAATGAAATAAAATATTGCCGAAATAATAATGGCTAGTTTATTTACATCCATTACTTGATAGGATATCTATAACATTAACATGAAATAGAGTGAGTGCAAATGACTTTGATGAAAAGACTTATAAGCTCTTTTCAGTAAGGATTCAATCGAGTTTTTGCTACTAGAAATTTCATTCGCTCGCATTATCACCTCCATTATCCATCCGCTGCAGAGAATAAAAAAAGTAACAGATCTAAATATTATATATGAAGACTGAAATATCAATATTATAATAGCTTTACAGTACATGGCAAAAGGAAAATCCCAAATTAACAACTCAACTTAGCCAATCTGAGAGGTAGATTGTATAATGAGCTTAAGTCCATTTTGCATGCCATTTATCAACCATTTGCATTTGGGCAATAAAAGTCGGCCCAAAGCAAGCTGATTTTGACTGACAGTTTCAAAAAAAATTAACTAGTGATCTTTAGAACTTAGAATGACACCATAGTATAAAACTCACCATTCTCTTGCTTACATAAGGTTGTATCTTGATTGGAATCTCAGAATGTGTTTCAACATTTAACTTCTGTAAATGTTTCTTCCTGTCAAACTCTTTTCTGGATTCTCTTCGGCTACCAGATTGCCAGACTTACCAAAATTAGGGTGTCAGTTGGCATCACACTCTTTCCTTAAATTCTCTCCCCTGTTTTCCTTCTCCATTTCAATCTTTCTCTTTTCAACCCAAGCTGCTCCCACCCGATTTGGATTAAACATTTTGGACTTCCCTAACCTGTTTGAATTAGAATGCATCTGATCTGCCTCAGTTGCATCAATACATGGCGGAGGTGCTTCAGAATAACTGTTTTTATCAGCACTTTCAGTAGGCACAAAAGAAATTTTAGTGATCAATTGTACACCTGAAAACACAAAAAATATTGTAGAAAATCATCACCATTCTAGTTAACCACAATCAACTTCTCTATGAGAGAATTATCTAGCATAGTAAAATCTTAGAAGTCTTTCTTTGCATTCATATTAGTCTTAAATATTATGCACATATACAAATTCAGCAATGCAACTAAGTGTACAAATTCAATAGGCAATGCTTGACATCTTTACAGTACTATAATAATGGAAGCAAAACAATATATTCATAACTACAAATAGATATCCTGATGACTGCTCTCTTCGTATACCATTCTATCATTGTCCCGCACCTGACACGCCGATAGAATATGCAATATATTTTATCAATACCGAAATACAGGCAAGATTAGAGAACTAAAACACTGATGGAGAAGAATAATTTGAGAAGGTGCTAGAAATTATAAGCCAACCATAGTCTTAATCATCAAGACAGGAAAACTAGAAGACATAAACTAGGCAAAAATCCAGACATGTTCATCTTGCTTGCTTACCCATGATGTTACCACCATATGAGTGCTGATAGACTGAAACTCATACAGTTAGATTGTAATGACTTATTTGAAACAATTAAAGCCTGAAGACCAAACAAACCTGTTTATTACAAGAAATATGACCTATAACCTAATGTCTTAAGGTTTTGGGTTGAGAGTGGTGTCAATCATTTATATGGGTTGAATTCATGTCTCATTAAATCCCACATTGAGTAAGAATGAGAAAGTTGAGCAATATATAAAGAAGTATGACTCATAACCTTAATGTTTTAAGGTTTTAGGTTGAGAGTGGTGTCAATTCCTTATATGGGTTGAGCTCATGTCTCATTGTTGTGTAATATTCTTATATTCTAGAAATTTAGTTTTCGTAATTACACTAGTTAAAAATTTCTACAATTTTTGTCTTTGAGTTATTTTTTTATAATTCGACCGTACTCTTTCTAGCTCGTTTTTTTAATATTCTAGTAATTTTGTGTCAGGATATTTTTGAAATTAAAAAATTGCACTGCATTAATTCAAGTTTGTTTTTTTATTTTTCTAGTAGTGTTAGAGTAATATTTTTATATTTTAGGAATTTAGCTTTCGTATTTACACCAGATCACAAATTTCTACAACTTTTTGTATTGGGGAATTCATTTAATGAAAAAATTCAACTGCACTCTTTTAAGATTGTTTTGTTTTTTATTTTTCTATTTGTTTTGAGTAATATTTTACATTTTAGGATTTTAGTTTTCGTAGTTACACCAGTCAAAAATTTGTATAATTTTTTGTGTTGGGGACTTTTTTTATAAAATTTCACTCCACTCTTTCAAAACTTGTTTTTTTTTCTAGTAGTTTCTTTGGGAGGAATTTTTTCAGTAAAAAAATTCCACTTTGGTGTTTCAAACTTATTTTTTTATTTTTCTTTTTGTTTTGAGTAATATTCTTACATTTTAGGAATTTGTTTTCGTAATTACACCAGTGAGAAATTTCTACACTTATTTTTTGTTGGGGATTTTTTTAATAAAAAATTTCACCGCACTCTTTCAAGCGCGTTTTTTCTGGTAGTTTTGAGTAATATTGTAACAACTTTGGAATTTAGTTTTTGTAGTTACACCATGGAGAAATTCATACAATTTTTTGTGTTGGGGAAAGTTTTTAGTAAAAAAATTTCACTACACTCTTTTAGGCTCTATAATTTATTTTCTTTGTTTTAGTAATAATTCTACATTTTTGGAATTTAGTTTTGTAGTTACACTGGTAAGAAGTTTCTACAATTTTTTGTGCTGGGTAAAAATATTGCACTGCAGTCTTTCAAGCCCAATTTTTTATTTTTCCAGTAATTTTGTGTTGGGGAATTTTTGCAATAAAAAAAATTCCACTACACTGTTTCAAACTCATTTTTTTTTATTTTCTATTTGTTTTGAGTAATACTTTTACATTTTAGAAATTGAGTTTTCGTAGTTACACGAGTAAAAATTTTCTAAAAGTTTTTGAGTTGTAGATTTTTTATTAACAAAATTATTCTACTACACTCTTTCATGGTCAATTTTTTCTTTTTCTTGTAGTTTTAAGTAATGTTACATTTTTTTCATAGTTACACAAGTCAGAAATTTCTACAATTTTATGTTGTAGAATTTCAAGATTGTTTTAGTTTTTATTTTTTTATTTGTTTTGAGTAATATTTTTATATTTTAGGATTTTAGTTTTCGTAGTTATACCGGTCAGAAATTTGTATAATTTTTTATGTTGGAGAATTTTTTTTATAAAATTCTACTCCATTCTTTCAAAGCTTGTTTTTTTTATAGTAGTTTCTTTAGGGGAAATTTTTTCAGTAAAAAAATTTTGTTGTGGTGTTTCAAGCTCATTTTTTATTTTTCTGTTTGTTTTGAGTAATATTTTTACTTTTTATGAATTTAGTTTTCGTAATTAAACCAATGTGAATATCCTACACTTTTTATTGTTGGGGATTTTTTTAATAAAATTTTCTTACTGCACTCTTTCAAGCTCATTTTTTTCTAGTAATTTTGAGTAATATTGTAACAATTTTGGAGTTTAGTTTTCGTAGTTACATCATTAAGAAATTCATACAATTTTTTGTGTTGAGAAAAATTTTTAGTAAAAAATTTCATTACAATCTTTTAGACTCTATATGTTAAGTATGTTTTTTTTATTATATATTATAAAAATATTACACAGTGCAAAAACTTTGTAGGGAGTTTTCTCTGTACTGCAAAAAAATTCTTTATATATGTGCGAAGGGGGGAAGGAATGATAGCAGCAAGTGATTCTTCCTCCCATCCTTCTTCTTCTTTCGTCTAAATTTTAAGCAAACGATATTCTAGTCGTGTAAGATCTGCTGAAACGGGAGAGAACTTGAATTAATTGGGAAAACTTCGATAGAAATATTACACCAGGTAAGGGAAAATTTAATTCATTCAATATATGAGACTGAATTACTGGTTACTCTGTGAATAAGGAATATGAGTGGAAATCTGAATATTTGAACGACTAATTTTAAAAATTTCTTCATGTTTTGCAAAACTTGAAATTTTGTTGAAATTCTTGAAATTAAGGATGAATTATATGGCAAAATTGTTGTTTTTAACTTAAATTGGACATAATTCATGTTTAATTTGGATCTAAAACTAGTTTGAGTGTTTGAAACTTGGAAATTTGAAACCTGGAGGTTGGACATGGTGTACTGGGAATCAGAGATTGATGATGAGGGTAAATTGGGAACTTTTAAAAAGATCAAGGGTAAAATAGTCATTTTACATCCTAGAGACATAAATGGAATTTTTGAAAATGTTCAAGGGTAAAACAATCATTTTAGGGACATAGAAGGAATTTTAAAAAATTTCCAAGGGTAAAATAGTCATTTTTGGGACATGGAAGGAATTTAAAAAAATGTCCAAGGGTAAAATAGTCATTTTCAGGACATGGAAGGAGTTTTAAAAAATGTCCAAGGGTAAAATAGTCATTTTCAGGATATGGAAGAAATTTTCAAAAATTTCCAAGGGTAAAATAGTCATTTAGGGACATGCATGGAATTTAAAGAAAAGATTAAGTGAAAAATAATAATTTAATGATTTCGGGATGAAAAAGGAATAATAGAAAATGTTTAAAGATATAATTGGAATTTTAGAAATAAAGTAAAGGTATGTTAGGAAAAATAATTAAAATATAGAATGAAATTAGAAATTTTAAAGAATCAAGCAGTGTGTTGTGACGTGTGTGGGTCAGACTGAGCTCGAGGGCTGATGCCCAAAATCAGTCATAAGATGTTATGTATTGGTTAGATTGAGCCGAAGGGTTGGTACCCAGAATCAGTCAAGTACTATTATTTATTGACCCGAATGAACCGTGAGGACAGGTGGTCCAGAATCTGGCAGATGTGAATGATTGTTGTTGTGTTTGAATGGTACTTGGGGTGGTACAAAGTATATTAGTGTATTAACTATGTTGGAGGATTCAGATGAGGTCCCAAACTTCACTGATTGGTCGGGTCAGGTAGACTACGAGATCAGGTAGTGAGAAGTCGATGGGGGATGACTGGTGGTGCGCTCGGAGGGGTACTCTAGAATGAGTGATGAACGTCGCCAGTAATCCCACTATGTGTGGAGGGTGGTCAGAATGGTACTGCGAGTGCCGACCACAATGTGCCCACAGATGATAGCCTCTGAGTTCGGGCATAGTTAGGATAGACTTCCGGAAGGCGTCTTAGTGTATTGATGATTTGTAATTGATGATAATATGTAATTATTACTTTTGTATCTGTTTTATTATATCAAATGATTTAATACTTACCCCTATTTTTCCATGTGGATGGACTGCGATGATCACTTTTATGTGGGAGCAGATCAGGAGTTGAGAGGTGGAAATGCGATTACTGGACAACAGGGATAGTTTAGTGGGATAACTTTGTGAGAGCTACTTTTGCATGTATCTATATAAATAAATTATATTACTATGTTTTGAGGTTCCGACAATGAACCAAAATTTCAGTCTATATTACAATTATAGTAATATAATGTAATATAGATGTTGTTATTTACTTATTTACTATTTTGCGAATGCATTATTACAATTACACTATAATTTATTTATTTTTTTAGTAATAATTGTACATTTTTGGAATTCAGTTTAGGGTTTAGGGTTGGAGAATACAAAATTTTTAAAATTTCTAAAATTTTTTGAGTTGGAGAATTTTTTTAATTAAACTATTCCACTACAATCTTTAAAGGTTGTTTTTTTTTCTTTTTTCTTTTAGTTTTGAGTACCATTGTAACATTTTTTTCGTCATTACACCAGTAAAAAATTTCTACAATTTTTTGTGTAAGGGAATTTTTTAGTAAATAAATTTCACTCTACTCTTTTAAGCTCTATATCTTTTTTGCTATTTGTTTTAAGTAATATCTTTACATTTTTCAAATTAAGTTTTTGTAGTTAGACCAGTTAGAAAATTTTACAAATTTTTGTGTTAAGCAAAAACATTTCACTGAACTCTGTCATGCTCCTTTTTTTCAAGTAGTTTTGTGATATATTCTTACATTTTGGGAATTTAATTTTCGTAGTTACACTAGTCAGAAATTTCTACAATTTTTTGTGATAGGGAATTTTTTTAATATAAGAATTTCACTGCACTCTTTTGAGCTCATTTTATTTCTCTATTTGTTGTATAATATTCTTACATTCTAGGAATTTAGTTTTCGTAGTTACACTAGTTAGAAATTTCTACAATTTTTTGTTTTGGAGAAGTTTTTTAAAAAATTCGACCGCACTCTTTCGAACTCTTTTTTTATAATATTGTAGTAATTTTGTGTCGGGATATTTTTGAAATTAAAAAATTGCAATGCACTAATTGAAGCTTGTTTTTTTTTGTCTGGTTGTTTTGAGTAATATTTTTACATTTTAGGAATTAAGTTTCCGTAGTTACACCAGATCAGAAATTTCTACAATTTTTTGTGCTAGGGAATTTTTTTAATATAAGAATTCCACTGCACTTTTTTTAACTCGTTTTAT